TAACAGCCAATGATTATGCTTATCCGTGTAATAATGCGCATGCGTAACTAGCGTAGCTTAACCCGTACGTACATCCATACATACATAAGTAAGTACGGTATGGAATTGAAGATGGGTATTAGTATGGGTAATGTAACATAGACTCTTTTGAAAGCTCTCGTGTTGTTATGTGTAGTGTTGTCTCCCCATGCACCGCACGTTGGCTGTGTCAACGATGTGATGTCGCGTACCATCTCGTCCTCTTCATGTCTCATTGCTCATTGCTTATGTTAGTCTACTCCACACGTCGACAATTTTACCCGAGTAGTTATCAGAAGTACCCGAGTAACTGCCCCCGTCGTATTATATGGATAATTATTATTTTATTTTATCACCATTACGCACCAAGAATTTACGAGCAAAACATTTTGGACTTTAGACTCATGCTTAAGTTAAATCATATTAACTACTCATATATGTCAAAAATAAAATACTAATTGCCAAGATACATAATAAAATTCTCATTGACCTCCGCGTAACTTAAATTTATTGATAAGATAAATTTTTCGTCTATTTACCAACAATTAAATCTAAAATTGTTAGTACAATCATATTGTATAATTTTTATTGTATATACGTATCATATTGTATATACGTATAATTTTTTTTTTTTTTCGTTATTTATACACAGAAAGAAAGAAGTTGTGTTGGCCGAAGTAAAAATTTTTCTTTAAATTCTATTCTTGGTGGAAGTAATTTTTTCTTAATTCAAATTATCATAAATACTTGATACAATAAATTTTTATATTTGATCAAGATTTTTAGATACTTTAGGAAAGCAGCGCCACCTATTTCAGCTGAGAAAAAATTTTTTTCATCTTGAGAAAATTTTTCTCTTGAATATTTGATACCCATTTTATATTATTTTAGCGCGCAATTATACATATTGAATGAAAAAAAATGATTCAATATTATTTGATCTTCCCATTTGATATGTTAGTCAATAGAAATATTAATGAAAATTTACTATCAAGATATTTAATTTTTTGGAGCAAGAGAAAAATTTTCTTAAGACAAGAAAATTTACTTCTGTCAAGAACTTAATTTTTTGGAGCAACAGAGAAATTTTCTCAAAACAATAAAAATTTTCTTGACTTAAATAATTTGTCTTGGATCAAGAAACGTATTTCTTGAAGCAAGAGAATTGATTTGTTGGAATAAGTGAAATTTCTTGTGTCAAAAAAAATTTTTTTTTTTGTCCAAGTAAATAATTATGAAGAAAAATATTTTCTTGGCTCAAGTGAACCTTTCTTTCTGTGTACTCCATTAGACATTTATTTAATTAAATTTATTATTATTTTTATTGTGATTATATATACCAAAAAGAAAATTCAGTTGTATTGTAAAAATCAAAAGGTTATATCACCTGTTAAAATATTATTTTAATCTAACACGATGACGCCACCGTGAGAAGAAATTTTCTCCTTTAACGCGACTAAGTGCGGTGGCTGTTGTGTAGAGCAAAGAGAAAAAGGTGACGAACCCGGAAGGGTGTCGACTGAGTTTAAGCCTACATACTGCATATAATATGTATATGTAAATATGTACATTTATGTATTGAGAAATAAGAAAAATAAAAAATAAAAAAAATTAGCTGAGTGAATATCGTGGAATTATTGCGATAAGGAATAAAAGATCAATTGACGGCTGAGAATATGAGGAACGGATTACGCAGTTTTATATCCGTATGTTGTGATAAATCGCTCGACTTGAATCTCAAGTTGTCAAAGCGTCAAGGACCTTCCTGGTTTGACTTCGTCTCGTCTACATATTTCCCCCCACTACTTGCCAATTCCACGCGGTTATTTCTTCTTTTTTAAATTTTTTCAACGTATTTAATATCTTCATACTATGTAATCCACATAAAATAATTTCCTCTATTATACTATATTATATATTATCAAAGTACACCTCTACTTGTATTGTACAATTGCTTGCACGTGGCGCCAGCGTTTAAACATTTAATCGCTGGTATGTATTGCTTCACAGTGCTATAACCACAACTTCCTTATTCTACATTTATATTAATAATTAAATAAATTTATTTATAAATCTATTATTAGTCGAAAATAATAATAATAATTGAAATAATTTTGAAATGGAATAAGTTTGGATGATTAAAGCAGTAAAAAAGGTTTTAAGAAAATGAGGAAGTGACGATAAAAAATAAAACGTAATGATAATTTAAAAATAATTGTTATTATTATTATTTTTCGCGGCGACAATTGCACAAGTGACATTATTAAAGCCATTTAAGCCGTGTAGAGCCCCTTAGGCATAAATGAAGACGACAGAGAGAGGGACGGAATGAGAGAATATAAAAGAGAAGGAGTAGGAAGAGAAGAAGAGGTCACTACTCTTCCCAGGAGCGTAACTTCTTACGAGATCGTGCACCGTAACAAACAGACAAGTTAAAAGGCTACAGCAGCAGGCCCGTAGTATCGCGGAATCGAGTCAGCGGTTCTCAATTATAAACTTTAAAAGTTTATATTTCTTATTAGCTTCCGGATTGCGCCATTCTTACGCGTTCTCGCGAGAAAGCGAGACCTATAACCGATTGCCGTTGGTTGCCCGATATGCATTATGTAAAGCTATCGCGTTGCTGTATGAATAAACCATGTTACGAACTTCTGACATGAACTGAGTTGAGTTAACAGAATCTAAGGCGCGCCTACCCTATCTTTTTTTATCGCTATCTACTCCTATCCGTTTATATTACATTACTTTTGTTATTTTCTGGTAATCTATTTAATATATATTATTCCTCTATTATTTCCAACCATAATGATGATAATAATTTATATATATATATATATATATATATATGGTTGTAAGATTGCCGGTACAGTGGTGAGAGACGACCTGTACCTGTACCTGTACCTGTACCTGAACCTGGTATGAGTTGGCCTGACTTTATACATTACATTACATACTTGTTAATATACAGCTTAGCTCTGCTGGTCCAGTTAACGTAAGAAGTAACAACACTAAGCGCTCCTATATACGATATACTGTATACTGTATATTACTGTATGTATGTATAAATGTATATAATACTACATATATATATATATATATACCAGCGCAGCTCGTTCAACCACGAGGTCGCGCTTCAAACGTGGGACCTTTCGCTGTATCGACTTCCGACAAGTCGATTAAGGCGATCCCGTATGTCGACCTCGTATTCCCCTCGATCCTACACACTACATAAGTGCCTCTGTTTCTTTGTGTCCCCCGGATTTTTTTTTCCTTTTCATTTTAGTTTTTTTCTTCTCTTTTTACACATGGTCATTCTCCGGTTTTAATTATTCATCGACTGGTTTTCCATATAATAGTTATTAAAAAAAAAAATAAAATAAATCAAATAGTATGATTTATTTAGCAAGTTTAAAATGTAATTTTAGTAATGTCTTTTTAACTTTAAATACTTAATAATTTATGGTAAATATATTTAAAATGCTTATGAGAAGATTAAAATTAAATAGCAATATTTAGTTAAAAAAATTAATGTAATGTAATTTCATGTCGATTTTATAATTATAACAGCTTCTTATAGTTATTACTGTTAAGTCTTGACTGACATAAGCCAGAGTGTTAACATTCTATGTAATGTAATGTAGGAAAAAAAGACTGTAAATATACTAAAAAGAAGTGTGCGAGTTTAGTTCTGGCACACGAAGAACAGAACCCGCTACACAAGACTCTAGACTTGACTCAACTCTACACTATACTAGGAGAATCTGGTCTGTTACTTTTTCTTGCGTAAGAATCCAAGTAGCGATACGAATGCGAGCGAGTGTAAGTATAAGTAATGTACAGGGCTCGCGGTAACGTCAAGGTACAGGACAAAGAGAAGGGAAGTGAAGAAAGGTAGACTATATATATATATATATATAAAATATATAAATTTATGAAGGTGTGTATGTTAAAAAGAGACGGAGTAAGATGAAAGGTGAAGCGACGACGATGACGAAGACGATGACGACGACGACGATGTTGATGTGGAGGAGAAAAGAGAAGAAGAGGGCATGAAGAGAAGGCGGACTCCCGGCACGCGAAGGTCGATGTGCCGTTGTCTCGCGTTACTCTCTCGCACCAGGAAATTGCCATCTTCCACGTCATGGCCTTCCAATAGCGATACTTTAACGTTGATGTATAGTTACACGTAAATATTCAAGTCATGCGTGTACTACTTAGTTTTCTTAGAGTTAATTTTTAAAAATAATAATAAGAATAAAATTTTACACAATTGTTATTAAAGCTTTAATGAGTGAATTGTAATAACAATTTAAGTGGGGTTAATATTGGTCAGTACTGGTACAAAAAAGCCAATTGACGAGATGACTTCATTCGTCATCAGTCTTTTAAAAAATAACAAAGATTAATCTTGTCAGAGTCAAGTTTTAAACTCCGAGGTCGATGTAATTAAAAAACTTCTATTATTATTATTTATTTTATTCTTATGTATGTATATATTACAAGAGGCTGCTTTAGCAAACGGAAGCACCTTCGACGTCGATGGAAATGTGGTATGTAAATCCGGGACAAGAACGGATACTGGTCTTCCTGCTGCTACCGCCAGTGTAGTAGAAACATTTCTTACAAAACTTATCGTTAAGGCCTTCGCATTCTGCGATACTATGTACAATACTATCACGCGAAATTATTTTTGCCGGGTAAGAAATTTAACTGGAAATTGAATACTATAATGTAATAAATTTTAATTAAAAAATTGATCTAAAGAATATCAATTAGTTTTAAAATAATTAAAATAATTAATAAGATCCTGATGACTTTTAGTTAAAACTATTAAGTAATGTTATAATATTGCATTGTAGCCATATTAATGGCATTTATAGTAATAATAATAATAATAATAATAATAATAATAATAATAATAATACTGATGATGTTATTGTTGATTGTGTGTTGCAGCCAGGTGATAGTGTGAACGTCGTGTTATGAAACTATTGCCGACGATTCAGTTGCCGCAACTACCGCCGGTCTCAGCCGCTGGCGGCATGACGGGAATGGATTCCCGTCTCCCACCAGGGATATCCTTACCTTTCAGTCCCACGGATTTATTATGGCGATATCCGACCATGAGTTTTTCCTCCCACCCACCTCAAAGTCCTCTACTGGACTTTAAAACTCATTTGCCATCAAGTTTAGGTGAGTAATAAAATTTTAATTAAAATCTATTGATTGATTATAATTATAAATTATAATGATTGATATTGATAACGAATGATGAAAAATAATTTTTGATTGTTATTGTATTTACAGCTTCAGACCCAAGAGTGTGGTCGCGAGATGACGTCGCGACATTTTTACGATGGGCTGAACGTGAATTTGACTTGCCGCAGTTTGACATGGACATGTTTCAAATGAATGGAAAAGCCCTGTGTCTGTTAACAAAGTCAGATTTGGGAGAGAGATGTCCAGGTGCTGGAGATGTTCTTCATAATGTTCTCGGGATGCTAGCAAGAGATTTCAATCAATTACAACGATGTCTTCCAAGTAGTCCTGTTACGCCCACGAGACATTCGGCATATCCTTTGAGTCCTCACTCACATCCGCCGACGCCAACGTGGGCAGAAAATCATTATGCTGCAGCCAACCTTGCCTCACTTATGTCTGCCAATTCAGTTACACTCTCACCGGCGCCATCAGTTGATAGTCAAGCGGGATCCCCCGGTCATACTGAGAGTAATCAAATTCAAGTGTATAGAAGTGATTCGGATGAGGATAATCATCAGAGTAGCAGTAGTCCACCAGCAACACCGACCGCTCTCACGGCTCAGAGACTCAGCGAAGTTTGCGTCAAGGACCAACCCAGTCCCACATTGCCACCTCAATTAATGCCACTCACGCCTGGAGGATTTCGACCTGCTTCTACTGCTCGAGAGTTTTTTCCCAGCGACTCACCTGAACCTAATACGAGTATGTTTATATCCTTAATGGATAACACATTTATTTCTGCTTTATTTGTCTATTAACTTTTTATTTCTACTTACATTTTATTTTCTTTTTTTTTTTCTTTTTAGATGGTAGACTTCTTTGGGATTTTTTACAACAGCTATTAAACGATCCATCACAGAGATACACCCATTACATTGCGTGGAAAAGTCAAGAAACTGGAGTTTTTAAAATAGTTGATCCGCCAGGTCTTGCACGGCTTTGGGGGATACAAAAAAATCATTTGTCTATGAATTACGATAAAATGAGCAGAGCATTGCGTTATTATTATCGTGTTAATATACTTAGGAAAGTTCAAGGCGAACGTCACTGCTATCAGTAAGTATAAAAAATTAACAGCTATTAATTTTATTTCTCTGATAACAGCGAATGCATACATAGTAGATAGCTACGTATATTCATATAGACACATAAATTTTTTATTTTTTTATTAATTTTTATTATTTCTTTTTTTTTTTTTTTATAGATTTCTTCGTAATCCTACGGAATTGAAAAATATTAAAAATATATCATTATTACGGCAACAAATGCGAATAAAATCAGAACCGGAAGAAGAAAGTCCTACTTCCATAAATGGTATAGAACCGGAAGTAGACATGCCAACTGATCTCTCAATGTCAAGTATGAATCAACCTTCTTGCGAACAGCCTCTTCCTCTCCTTGATCCACCTGCCAAGTATCGCAGTCATGCATACAATCTTGCTAAAACTAATCAAGAACCGGAGGAGAGGAAGTGACGCGAGACTTAACAGGGATACGCTTGATTATGCATTAAACGTCGCTCTATTGCGACTGTATAGTATAAAATATTAAGAGTGAGCTTTTTATTTAGTTTAACTCACTAGTTATGATTCGTCGCTATGCCCAAGTGAATCTAATTATTCAAGACTGATTCATTAAATCCGACAATCGATCATATTTCGTATTCAATGATTACAAACATTGAATGTGTATAGTTAAAATAAAAAAAAAAAAAAAAAAAAAAAAAAAAATAAAAAAAACATACAAAATAAACTAAACAAATAAACGTCCTCCGATGCCGGTAAATGAATTATTTTTAAAATTAATTTATTGGCATTTTATATAAAAGTTACAATATTCTCGCGTAAGTCAATAACAAGATTCCACTAATTTATACAATCTAAATGAACATCACTATTTAAACTGGATGCTGTAGACAAACGGTTAGCGTGGCTGCAATTCTTCCCAATGATCAGGCCCGACACGATTTTCATATAGGACTTTTGACCCAATTTATAATTTAGCGTTATGTTTGTAGGATTCGGGAATATCAAGCTCAGTTGTTGATTGTCGTACATTAAATTATAAGAATAAAGTACCTCAAAAATGCACTGTATAGCTACGTTGCCATAGTTGCTCTGAACATCTAGTGAATAAACTGACAGGCACTTTTAAATTTAAACGCTCTTACTATTGCGATTGAATATAATAATTTTCATTTTTTTAATTAGAAAGAAATTTTATCTTCCAAATTACCATATGAGATTCCAGTTGGGTTATCAGTTATTAGAGTGCAACCGTGATATATTATCTCTCTCATTTTATTAAACGTGAAAAAAAAAAAAATTGTCAATTTTTGAAATTTATAAATTAATCGAGGAAAACATTTTCATTTACATTTACATTTGTAAATATATGTATAAATTATTATTATTACTATTATAGTTATTATTATTACATAGATGATCATATATGTTTATCTCTTATAAAATGTAATATTTATCTGTTCATACAATGATTGATTATAAATAAATATTAGCATATCAAGCTGTACATGTATAACATGCGGCAATTAATATTCGCGTTTATCTATTTAAATTACATATGATTTGATATTACGTGCAGCAATAAAGAGCCTCATATAATGGAAAATAAATTAGTACGTTGTTCTTACCAATGTATTTAACTTTTTTTTTTTTTAATTCGAAAAAAATGGAACTTTTGTAAATTCATATTTGAGCATATGTAACTGTTTCACACTGTATTTTAAATGTAAAAATATGTGGCAATAAGTATTATGAACATAATAATGATATCCATTGATATTCATATATGATTGTATAGGTTCATATATGACCTTATGTGATATCAAATGTGCCAATAAATAGCCTTGGTCAAGTATGATAGTATTTTCCCATATATGATTATATTCGTTTAGATTATATACCCATACATGTGATGCTATTTATTGTTGTATTTAATATCGTTTAGGTAGATTGGGTCATGTATGATCAGATATTATCTTTCATTAAGTGTGATTTGTATTAAAGAAAAATACAAAGAAATTTATATATATTTATGAATATATATGAATGTTTGTTCTCGGTTAAATTGAAAGTTTCATAAATTTTTTAATATTTTTACATTGTCCCGCTCAAAACCCAGTCAAAGTCATCCTTGTTGTTTTTACTCGTGTAAAAACGAAGAAAAAGTGATCACTCTAACGTTAAATATATATATAAAATATAAATAGCTATAAAAATAATAATATACTCAAAGAAATAAGTATCTATCAACAGAAAAATAATGGTATGAGTGATTATAAATATATAAAAATTTTTAAAATAAGTAAATTGGATTATATTTAGGATAGTTTTAAGAATATTAGAGTAAAATTGATTCGTGAGCATGAAAAATAAAAAAAAAAAAAAAAAACAAAAAAAAATTAAGAAAACAAATACAAAGTTGAAAATTTATCCGCGCTAACTGGGATATATCTGTGCCAAGAATGTTACCTTACTAATAGATGACAAATGATTATGTTTTTGTGTACTTTCAAGTTGTTTATTATCGTATCAAGCTACTATTTTATTGTACACAATTTTTTTTTTTTATTATTACTATGTGTATTTTTAAAAGCTCGCCAGTTAACTGCACTAAATCTTGGAGAAATATATCTTTATTCTTGAGAATAATGTAACAAAAAAAAATTTTTAAAGCAGTGCGTGCAAATATATTTGGCAGGTTGCAATTTTATCAATTATAGACTTATATTGTAGTGTATGAGATTTATATTTTAAATGTAAATAGATTTATATTTAGAATTTGAGAAAGATAAATATAATTACTAAGTAACGGAAGAATGTATAATGAACATAATAATAATAATAATAATAATAATGATATTAATATTAATATTAATAATCATAATTACCTAAAATGAAATGAGTTAAAGGAGACAAATATATTGAAAAGAAAAGTTTAAATTTTTTTATGAAAATTCGGGGCCAGATTTATATTTAAATTCATATATAAATATATAAAGTTATATAAATATAAATGAAAAAATGAATGCATTAAAATATAATATAAAAAAAACAAATAAATATATATAGATATGTATATTTTTTAATACCAAAATTTTTATTCGAAATTTGTATGCGTTATTAAATAAAATGTAATAAATTAGTGGCTTGACATTCCAAAATCGAGTTTATTCGCTCTTTGAATGTTTGGTTGAAAATTTCAGTAAGTCACTATTTTAAATAATTAGATAATTGTCATTTTATTTCATACTTGATTTGAAACATAAACTAAATTATAACTGGTGATTAATAGGAAGAAAAAATAAATAAATAGGATTGTATTTTTCCACTAAATACGCTAAAGGTGATAATTATTAATTAAATATGAGTAAATAATAATGAATAATGAGTGAAAATGAATTTTGATGGAAAAAAAAAATTTATATCTGGTTTCTTGTATACTGTGATCTCTATAAGATAAAAAAAAGGTAATAAAAATATTTGTCATTCATTAAATTGATAAAATGAATGATTTAGAAATAAAATAAGTTCTATAATTAAAGAGCATAATATTATTCAGTGTAAGAATAAAAAATATATATGTATGTTTAGATAAAAAAAAATTTTTTTTTTTTCATTTATATATAAAAAATGTATATAATTTATACATTAACGGCCATAACAATTTTAAGTAAAAAAATGCCGTTAGATAAATAAATAGTGTAGAATAATTGTTGTGAAGATGCAAGGACTAAAGTATATAATTTTCATCAATTGTAAACGTTGTGAAAAATAAATTAAATAAGTAAAGTAAAATATTTCTAAATAATTATACATTATAAGACAGAATTAACATGTAAAGACAAAATATATCAATTGTAAAATTTTAGATTTTAATCTCATTATATTGTAATTGTTATGGATTTATTCCAAACGATGTAAATATAAAATCATTTACTTATTACCAATTTTTATTTTTATCCTTTTATTATCAAGATTTTTACTTATTATAATTCTTATAAAATATTAATACATGCTATAGACAGTAATTCATAATCTTAGAAAAAATAATGCGTGAAGAAGAAAGTAAGAAACAACATTGGTACAAAACTCGATTCTTTTTTATTTTAACTCTAATTGAACTATTCACCAGGTTTTTGCGTTTGGAAAAATATAACCTCATCGGCTATCACAGCGGTCGTGGGTCTTGGATTTCCACTATCATCTTTAATTTCACCGTAGCTCAATCTTCCATTTACCAGAATACGTTGGCCTTTCTTCAAATTTTCGTAAACAGAGTCACGCAAATACGGTTTAAATACACAAATTCGGTGCCAGTCAGTACGTTGTACATAATCACCTGAAAAAATAGAGGAAGAATTAGGATTTTTTTGTTACCATTTGAATAAACAAAAATTTTTTATAAATTAATACAAACCTCCATCATATTTGTAGTTTGTATGGGTAGCTAATGAAAAAACTACAACAGGATGTTGTTCAGTTCCTCTTTTTTGTGGCTCACCTCCTACTCTTCCTAATAAGCAAACCTGATTTAATGCTGAAAAATTACAATAGCAAATTATAAAAATGACAACAAATTAGTCATAAAAAAATATTTCCATCATATAAGTTGATAAAAATTCAATAATAATAAAGTAAGTATTATTTATTTTTAAAAAACAATAAATTTCAAGAAGACAATACGATTACACCAAAAGTTTTTTATATGCCTATTAAAGTCATTTTTCTTACAACATAAAACTAGTAATTGACAGAATTACTATTGTTAGATGTCTATATGTTTTCAGTATCAGTATATAAATAAAATGAAAATGAGCATTTGGACATTTTATTTTTTTACAAAATATAATATTGAAATTGACAAACATTTTTAAAACAATTAAATTATGATTAATAAAAAATTATCTGCGAATTTTGAAGAAAAGTTTTTTTTGCATTGTTATAAAAGTTCTAAAAACTGTCAGATGTTTGTTGATTTCAGTAATATCTACAAAATACATATATTTAAAAATAAAAATGTTAAATATTAACATATTAAATAAGTATTTAATATTTGATTCGAAAAAAATAAAAAATACTAGTCATCAGCTACATTGAATTTCATAGAAAGAATTATAATACTAAAGTTAGCCGAGGATTTTAATTTTTTGATTTTTTTTTAATTAAATTAGAAACAAAATAATATTTTTAAAAATTGCACTAACAGTCTTTAAAGTTTTTTACAAATGAAATTTTTTTTTATTTTTTTGTAATGATTTTTTCAATAAAAAAAAAATTCTAAAAATTTTTAGATGTCGGCTAACTTAATTTTCATAAAGAATTAGATTAAACATTTATCGTGTTATTAGAAAAATCACGCAGAAGCATAAAAATATTTGATTAAACAAACTAATTATACAATTGAAAAAATAAAATGACGTACTTTTTTCTAATCTGTTTGCATCTGCAGAACTAGAAATAAATTTGGGCATCAATCGGCTTACTTGCTGGCACGTGCGGCTAATAACCTGTAAATTTATCAATATGAATAAAAAAAGTACATGACTGTAAAATTAACTATTTTAAATATGTGGTATATGGTAGTTTAAATAAAATGTTTAATACCTTTTGCGCAAACATTTTTAATATTATTTAAAAAACGAGTAATATAGTGACACTAAAGATTTAATTATTTATTTAAGTAAAGTTATAATAAACCGCAGAATTGCGCTGAAATATCACGCCAAATATATAGAAGCCGCGTCGCGCGTCGTATTTTTATTAAAAATGCTTCACATATTCAGTTCTACCAATCAAATAAAGTAAAAGAGACTGAATGGATTTTTATTTTAACTTCATGTTAGCTTTAGCTGGTACCAGTGACAATGAAAATAATTACGTTTAATTTTTTATGATGGATTGTCGTTATATTTTTACAGTTTTTATAAATTTGTTTTAGTGTTATATTGTTACTATTACGTAACAAATAATTTGAGTAAGTATGTACAATTATTAACATTTTTAATAAATGACATTAATTGATTTCTTTTGACATAATTATTTTTTTGTTTTATAGGTTCGGCTTGATCAATTAATAAGCAAGATATATCAATAGAGATAATGGATGATAATTCAAAGAATACACTTGAAGAATTTAATGATGATCCACGTGTTACTTGTCAATACGGCGCAAGTTGTTATCAAAAAAATCCAAAACATCATGAAAAATACAAACATCCACCGGTAATTCAACAAGTATGATTAGATAGTTCTTAAGCGATGATTGCTTTTTATAATTAATTTAATGCGTTAGAACGTTGTAATTTTTATTTATTACTACCAATTTTTTTTTAGGCTCAAGTCGTTGAAGATAGTGCTGAGCAAGGTAAAAAACGTAAAGTAGATGATGAGTGCGAAAGTGATGAATCTGTATCATCAAAAAAATTCAAGAATAATGAACATAATGAATCTGAACCAGTTGTAGATAAACAGAGAATATCACCAAGTCCATCTACTTCTTCCGACGATGATGATTTTGTGTGTGATGAGGATGATATTGAAAGAATAATGAAAGAAGCATCCATTAAAAAACCCATTGATAACTCTGCGAACTCAGATAAAGATTTGAATGCGGGACATTCTCGAGTACCAGCATCAGGAATAAACAATGTGGTTGATAAAAAGAAAATTATCTTAGACTTATTCCTTGTAGAAATGCCAGATGACTTCTACAAATTTTATGAATTTTGTTGCTCATTGTCTAAAGATGATCCCCAGTCAGCTTTAAGAAGTGTTGATTTGAAGCTTGTTGGTCCTTATGATGTTTTGTTGGATAAAATAAAAACGTACTCTGACAATGATAAAGAAAAATACTTGCGGCATTGGAGATATTATTATGATCCACCTGAATTTCAGGTATTGGATTATTTAATTTATTATTATTATTATTATTATAAAAAACAGTTGTTGATTTTCACCTCAATTTTCTCTGATGGTATGAGACCTCATACCGATAAAATATTATGGTGAAGAAGTAATAATAAAAAATTAGTCATTCTTTAAGAATTTGGATCGGAAGTGATCGCCTTAGAATAATAATAATTATAATAATAATAATAATAACTATCTTTAATAACACCGATCTTCGAGTCAGATATATATACGTTTAGATATATTAAAAACCTTAATTATTATTATTATTATTATTATTATTATTATTATTATTATTATCATTATTCTCAATTTAATTATTGGAATTAATAATAATCTAATATAATTTTCAGACTATTTTAAAAGGAAATGATAAAGATGGACTTCACTATGGATATTGGCGTGATGAGAGCAAGACACAGCCTACTTTTATTGCTAAAAATTCAGCTAATAAAAATTATAAAATAGTTCCAGTGGCACCAAATATTTTCAGTGCAGTAATGTACATATAAAACTGATAAAACAAATATTCATTGCCTCGTATATATTAAATAACTATTTGTTTTAATTTTTTGCATTTTAGGGCTCACATAGAAGAGCGTCAGAAAATTGCTAATCCTTTTGAGAAGGGGAAAATTTCCCGAGTATTACAAACCTTGAAAAATTATGCTAAAACGCATGATATATGCTTAGAGAAAAATTCAGCTGGCATGCAAAAACGCAACCGTGAAGTCATCACTAAAACTTTGCATGGTGCTGGTATTGTTGTCCCGTACAATAAAAAAACACAATTGGGATATAGGCAGTTATCATTAACTGACAGTAAGTTTTGCAATTATTATCACAGCATATATTTTTATTTATAAGTAGATAAAAATTATATTAATTATTTTTTTTCTTTTTATTAAAGGTCACTTAATAAAATTATTACATCAGATAGAAAAGGCAGACAGTATTGACGTCAAAGTATATCTGGGTAAATTGGAAGAAGTTGTAAGGCTTGCGACAATAGCAGCAGATGAATGTGACTTTGGTACGCCTCTTGAATTAGGTCATGATTTATTTAGTTGTGGAATTGAAGCTGTTCAACGAATAGCTTTACAAATGCTTGCACTGGCTTATAATCTCCTTAAGCGGCCAGAATTTTTGAAAATCGCAGAAGCGCATATTTCTCATCGAAAGAAAGGGTGTGATTTAAGCGTTTTGTGATATTTATAATTATTTACAATTTACATCACTTTTTATTTTTTTTTTTATTTTAATTTTTTGATATTTGATAAGTTGTAATGTTTTATTATTAAATAATAAGTATAGATTGACGTTTGAAATTAAAATATTTTAATTTATTATTATTAAAGGAAATAAATATATTTCTAGCTTAAGTCATTACTATTCCTATTTTGAAGGATATACATATATTTGTTTAAAATTTTGTTTAAATAAATAATACACTTGTGATTTAAATGTAACTAGAATTCAAATTTTCGCGCGCAAGCGCGCGTCTTGACTATAGAATTTGCATATATTTTCATGCTTATGATATATTCGACCAATCACGTTACGAATAGTTTGATGCCACATACATTTCATCTCAATTTTATATTAGGAACGTTCATACGTCGTGACTGGATAATTCTGAGAACAAACACAATTATTATTTATAATTGGTAACTGATCGGTCGATGAAATAATTATTGAAATAATTTACCGATTGAGTGGTTGACAAAAATATTTCCTTTACTTTCTACCGAGCTACTTACACACTCGTCTTCATGAAAACGCTACACAAATGGCGTCGACCATAGTTGCCCTCGTATATTAAAAATATACACAATATTTGTGGTTAAACTTGTTCACACATTACTGGATTTATAAATTATATTGTAAATTATACAATAATTTTTTATGTATTATAATAATACTTCTAATTAAATAAAAGTGTTAAAATGGGAGTACCAGCATTCTTTCGTTGGTTAAGCCGTAAATATCCATCCGTAATTATTGAATGCATCGAACAAAAGGTAAAATTTTTATTTAAAGATATAGGTTATATTGTCCCCGTGTAAATGATTTTATACTAAAAAATTCTATTTATTTTTTAGCCGATAAATGCCGATGGTGTACAAGTGCCGATAAACACAACAGAACCAAATCCCAATGGAGTTGAATTTGATAATTTATACTTGGATATGAATGGTATCATTCATCCTTGTACACATCCTGAAGATAAACCAGCACCTAAAAATGAGGACGAAATGATGGAAGCTATTTTTGAGTGCATTGACCGACTATTTCGTATCGTAAGACCGCGAAAACTTTTATATATGGCTATTGATGGAGTGGCGCCAAGAGCTAAAATGAATCAACAGAGATCTAGGAGGTTTCGTGCATCAAAAGAAACAAACGAAAAAATTATTGAAATGAATCGAATCCGTTCAGAGTTAGCATTGAAAGGTGCTTATTTACCTCCAGAAAAACCCAAAGAAGAACATTTCGACAGTAATTGTATTACTCCTGTAAGTTATAATTTTTTATATTTTCAATAGTTTAATGATAATTTTTTTTTATAAAACTCCTAATATTTAATTGGTTTATAGTATTGTAAGCTAATTGAATTCTGAATGATTCTATTTCTACCTAGAAAAAAATTCTTTTAAAATTACGTCGTTATTGTAAAACTTTTCTACTCAGCAATAAGGTAAAAGACCCCATTAGTGTCACCTTTAACCCCTATTAATGACACTTTTTCTTTCAATGAAAAAATATTCAGTAATATATTCATTATTGAAATTAATAATTTCATTAATTGAATAAGTACCAAAATCAAAGAAAGTGTCAGTAATGGGGTCCCCGTCGCTAATGCGGTCTTTTATCCTATAGATTTAATTTTTTTTTAAAGGTGAAAATAGCTCTTTTTTTTTTTATAATATTATCTAAATAATTATTTTAAGGGTACTCCATTTATGGCAAGATTATCAGCGTGTTTACATTATTACATTCATGAAAGATTAAATAACGACCCTGGATGGAAGGATATCAAAGTTATTTTGAGTGATGCAAATGTACCTGGAGAGGGAGAGCACAAAATAATGGATTTTATCCGACGACAACGGGCACAGCCTGATCATGACCCTAACACACAGCATGTTTTGTGTGGAGCTGACGCAGATTTGATAATGTTGGGACTTGCCACTCATGAGCCTAATTTTACAATTATCCGTGAGGAATTTAAACCTAACAAACCTCGTCCTTGTGATATTTGCGGTCAGTTAGGTCATGAAATGAAAGATTGTACTGGATCTGAACCAGATCAAGCGAAGGAAGTAATGGCATTTGGGTCCGAATGTTCATTTATATTTGTACGGTTGAACGTTTTACGTGAATATTTAGAGCGTGAATTACAAATGCCGAATTTACCGTTCAAATATGATTTTGAACGTGCTATTGATGACTGGGTGTTTATGTGCTTTTTCGTAGGAAATGATTTTCTACCACATTTACCGTCTCTTGAAATAAGAGAAGGAGCAATAGATCGACTTGTAAATTTGTACAAAAAAACAGTTTACAAAACAGGTGGATTTTTAACAGACAGCGGTGATGTTAATTTAGACAGAGTACAATTAATTTTATCAGATTTGGGTGAAATGGAAGATGAAATTTTTAAAAAACGTCAAGCTAATGAAATAGCTTTTAAACAACGTGAAAAATCAAAAAAGAGACGATTGGAAGCTATCAGCAATTTTAAACCTAGTTGGATTCCTACTGGTCAATTTGCTCCGACAATGGTAGGTCAAAGTGTTAAGCCTATCCAAAATGCTCGGCATGAGGCATATCAAATGCGTATACAAGGTCGCAATTATAATACAAGTGCCGCTGAACGCTCGTTGGGAACTATAAATGCAGCCACTGGATTACAAGCAATGATGGTACCAGAGAATAAAAATAATCATGGTACTAAACGTAAACGTGAAGAGTCAGATGAAGAAGAAGAAGAAGATTACCAAGCTAATGATGAAGTAAGACTGTGGGAAGATGGCTTCAAAGATCGTTATTATGAGTCTAAGTTTGACGTCAAAGCCGAAAATCTTGAGTTTAGGAATAGAGTAGCACTTCATTACGTCCGTGGTTTATGTTGGGTTTTACGTTATTATTATCAAGGATGCGCATCATGGAAGTGGTATTTCCCGTATCATTATGCACCCTTTGCCAGTGATTTTGTAAATATTAATGGTCTCTCAACAGAATTCGAAAAAGATACTGTACCATTCAGACCTCTGGAACAATTGATGGGAGTATTTCCAGCAGCCAGTAGTAGTCACGTTCCTAAACCTTGGGCAGCATTGATGAGTGATCCTAAATCATCGATTATTGATTTCTATCCGGAAGATTTTAAAATAGATCTTAATGGAAAGAAATTTGCTTGGCAAGGTGTTGCGTTATTGCCATTCGTTGATGAAGTGAGGCTATTCAAAGCTTTAGAACCTTATTACGAATGTCTTACTGATGCTGAAAGTAACTAAAAAATTATTTTATTTTTATAAATATGTTCGTATAAATTTATTATATAAAACTAATTTAATTTTTATCTAATTTATTTTAGTAAAACGAAACATTAGAGGAGATGATAAATTATACATTGCCCCCAGTAACAGTGGATATGATTTGATAAGAGGACTTTATAAAAATAAAGTTGATTTCAACACTGATACTGAAATATCAATTGATGGAATGCGAGGTACTGTTTTACTAGCCGAGGAGTGTGTCAATGAAGGAGCTACCTTACCTTCACCGATTAGCGGCTTACCAGTTCGAAATAATCAAGTTTATTGGTAATTTTTTTTTTATTAATACAAAATTTGGTTTAAGTTTATACAAGTGTCATGAAAATTAAATAACACTAATAATTTATTAATATTTCAGTGTAAGGTTCCGTGATCCAGCATTCAGCAGTCATCATATTTTCCCGGCTAAACGACTCAAGGGTGTTAAAGAACCTCCCCGTGTGTTAAAACCACAAGATTTTGAACATATGCATAATCGTGATGGTAAAAATCCATGGGTACCAAGAACCGGTTTTTCTGCACCGACACATAAAGGTTCATTAGGCGAATCAGGACATCGGATGCTTGGACATCATGTTAACAGAAACCAGGGACAATATTCAGCTGTTCCTGCTCCACAAAATTCATACAATCAGCCTCGTGGTAAGTTTTCAAATTTATTTTATTTTAATATACAATGTTGATTACGTTTATTTATTGTTTAAAATCATAATTCATGGAAATGACTATTCATTAAGAACTTGAGTTAATTTTAAATACTATTTTTATCTCGGATAAAAAAAAAGTTGAATTATTGATTAATAATAGCATTTAAACTAGAAAATAAAAGTTTGAAAGGTTGGCCTAGTATTTGCGCATACATATTTGCGAGGGTGCGTTAATGATGGGATGAGAAAGAGACCTTTATAACCCCATGAATTTACCAGTCAGTCACTCAGTCAATCGTTCTTTACTGTTTGTATTTACTTTGCTTTATTCCCAGCTCGTCGTTAACTAAAGTATAATTAAAATGCGCATAAAGATTATTCTTTTTCAATATAAAGAAACGAATCACAGTCTTTATAAAAAAAAAAAAATACATTTATATATAAAGTAATAATACTGATAATAATTCTAGACATATACTAAGAAAGTTATTCTTTATGATTGATTAATTATCAATTAAAGTACAGTTGGACGGTATAAAACACAGAATTTAATTAGTTTGTTATTTGTTGACATTTAATATGAATGGTAACACAAAAATCAAGAGAATAGAACAAGTGATAGGGAAAGAGGGTTTGATGAATCAGGGGTGGAGGTGGTTATCGGACCAGAGGTTTGCTGTTGGATTAGCTGTGAGGGTAGTTTGTCACGTAGAGCGTGACTCCAAGCGTTTCGTTGTTTAACACGTCGATCAAACGGCTCTACGCTGCTTGTACGTTTTGCCCAATTATAAAACAAACCCGGTGCACGCCGTAATTATCCAATTAGCGAATATTCCCTGTTCGAGTTCTAGCTGGCAATGTGCCTTTTACACCCCTCGTATTCATCGACGATCACTTCAAACTCTGATCCATTGTGATCTCTTGCAATCTCACGCCGTTACGAAATTTCAAAGTTACAAAAAAAAAAAAAAAAAAAAAAAAACAATCAATTATACATAATAACTTTTTTTTTTTGTTTTAATTAAAAATAAAATTTTTACATTTTTCTTCTTTAACTCCTACTACTATATTTCTTCTAATTAGTTTATTTAATTTAATTATTATAGCTTACTATTCACTCGAGGTAAAAGAAAAATAACTTTGGAATACTTTAAGTATTCATAAAACTTTTAACAAATATTTTTACACTCATAAAACTTAATAAATATAATACTTTATTCGAGTTTACTAAGGATCAAATATTTAGGGTCTTGAAATAACTTTTTTAAAGCTTAAAGCATTATATTATAACTCGATCGTTCCTCGGTTTATTTTTATTCATAAAAAAATTTATATTAAAACAAAAAATTGTATTAAAATAAAATGATTAAAAGATAAAATGAATAAAAGAAAATATATAGAAGAGACCATCTAGCAATCTGTCTATCCATCCATCTCTGTGTGTTCATTCACATGACAGGTGGAGGAGACCCTCGTTAGACAAATTATACTTGGTTCTTAACTCTCTTTCCATTCTCTTTATCGGTGTAGCAATACCGTGATGATGGTTGCTGCTGGTAGATACCAACTACAGCAGGTCTCAATTCACTGGGCTCGTTCAGGTCGAGCTTCGAGTGGACTGCAAACACTCGACGTAACGCTAGCTCGGAACTGTGTGCCACCAGACAAGCCACCGGTTTCAGTTCTGCCTTCTCAATGCTACTGAACTACTGAATTATAGCCACAGTAGATTTAGAAAAATTTTTTTACTTGAACAATTATATTCTCTTTCGTTTCCTTTACTCGAATTAAAATTTTTTAAAATATTAATTATGAATTATTACTTTCATATTTTCATGAGAAATATTAAAAAAAAACAATTTTTTTTTTTAATTTTTGATGATACGTACCAGAGATAAGTTTAATAATAGACTAATAATTAATCTTTTTTTGTTTGGTACGTGTGGATTATAAAAAGTGAGCGCTGACTAAGGGACCTCCTTCACATTTCACAGAAGCTTCGTATCTCCTTGATTTTGTTTCACTCCTTATAAGAGAAGTGAAAATCAATTTCTCAACGAGGCCAAAGGGAGGTCGTACGTGTTCGCGTACCCCCCAAGCTACCAGGGACTTTCTCACTAATGAGGCACAGCGTAATTAGTGAGACTGTCTGCCAGTTTGGTACTTCACTGAGTAGAGAGTACGAGTTGCAAGGGCGGTTCCCTCTTTCTCGTGTGCCAAGCCTTTGCGTACTTCACTTCACTGTTTCCACTTCACTACACTTTTCGTTTTTTTATTTTTTTCACTATCACGTACAATAATAAAAGAAAAGTGTCATGTTTAGTACTTCTTTTGTTTCGGTTCTTTCTGACTTTTAAATTTATTTTAAGGAAATCCTTTCGCTCCAGTTGAGTCAAAACAATTGTAGTAGTCAATGTACGATAAATTAAAATAAAAAACCCATAAAAATTCCTAAAATTAAATAATAAATAGTATATGAGGCATTAATCGTTGAAATTTTAAAAATAAAAAAAAAAAATAGTTAAATACAAAAATTAATTTGATTCTTTCAAACCAACTGCTAGTAACCTGTCCGTGATTTGGCAACGCTGTACTTCGGTTGTTTACATTTTCATTTGCACAATATAACCTTAAACACGTTTAAGTTTTTGCAGTCAGTGTAAATAAATGCAGAATATTACCTTAACCACGTTTAAGTTTTTTTGTCAGTGTAAATAAATAAATTAGTTTGAATTTATTGAATGGTCTGAAGCTCGCGCGATACGCAACTTTGCCAAATGTTTTGACTCCATTTTAACGTAGTTTACTTGAGAATTTTTTGTGATTTTTAAATATTACTTTCTCAATAAATATCTCGGTAACTGATCTATTTTATTGCAAAAAAAGAAACCTGAATATTTTGAAAATCTAATTTTTAGTTTTTTTTTACTTCGTCTAATCCATGACTGATAGTATAATTTGAGAAATACTGCAAACGTCTGACTTTCTCGTAAGACTTTGAACAAATACTAACATTTAAAAATTTTATTTTTTCAAAAATTTGTTCGGTAAAGTATAATTTAAACCTCACTATTAGATAAATAAGGACTTCAACTATTAGAAAAAAATTTAATTTACTCATAATCTAATATTTTTTATTTTACATTGGCGGCGAAAGGACCTCCTTAAATTATTATTTTATCGATTTTACTTACAAAATTTTTATTTTACAGTCACATACTCAAATTTAATAATATTTAATACTTTTGAAAAAAATGAAGAAAAAAAAATTGTCATTTTAGAGAAAATTAATTTTTAAACACTGACTTTTAGTTAAATTTATTAATTTCGTTTATGTATGTCAGTTTTACATAAATCGTTTGAGCAAAAAAAAATCTACTTTAAAGATTAAAAAATCTTTTGTCTTGTTCTAGTTGCCAGTATAAAAATTTCCAAATAAATTTATGTTTTTTAACTTATTCATTTAAAAAATTCAAAAGTATATACTTACACTGATATAAAAATTAACTTTGATTAAAACAAATAATATTGAACCAAGAAAATTATTTTTAATTAAATAAAAAAATGCTTGAACCATGATATTTTTCTTGAATTAATTAAATTTGACTAAGTTGAAGAACTTTTCAGCTTGATCAAAAACAATTAAATTTTTAAGAATAATTTTGATCAATCAAGATTTTTTTCTCTTCAATCAACTAAATATTTTTATCAGTGTTTAAAGATAAAAAATTCAAAGATATCTCAAACAAAGTATTTGAAAAATGTCAATTCTTTTCATTTTTTCCAAATATTCGCTCGGTATTTGTCGCAATAACTAAAATACTTATTTTTACAATTTATAATTATCAATAGATAAATGTCGAAAAATCACTTTAATTATGATTTACATAATTATTTCGATCAATAGATAGAATTTTTTTTACTATTGCATATTTAGCAATAAATTCAGCGGTTGAAAAAATTAAAAAGGAAATCACTCTTTTGTAACGACAATAGGTTTGTTATGAATTTATGCAATTCCATTGCAAGTTAATCACGTAAAAATCACACGCCCTTCTGTCATATCAACTACACGCGACTATCACCAAGGGTGACGAGCGTCAACACCAGTGTCGCGGCTAATTTAACCACGGTATTGAGCTGTATTGTACTTTAAATGTCCCGCTTTCTCCTTCTACATTTGTCTCTAGAAAGCCCTCTGTCATATATATTCTATTGAAAATTATTCCAATTATTCCATCATAAATACTCACAGTAAAATCATTTTCAGGTTTCGAAAAGTTAATAATCTTAACTATAACATTAATATTATTTTTTTATAAATATTACGTAAATGCTTTCGCAAATTAGTCCGTATTTCACAGACATTTAACTATTAAAGCAGCAGATTTATTAGTCAGTACAAAGAGCTTTGTGTACAAAAAACCGTACCATTTTATTTCATTGTTATATATATATATACTTTATTTACTATTATTTTTCTTTGATGCAATGTTCTATTTAAAAATATAAAACGTTGCAATGGCGCGGAATGCCGTAAAAACCAACCTAGATATTTGAAATGATCTTGATGTTATTAAATGAACCGTGTTTCCGTAATGCAAAAGGTATTTTTAAGTGAGGTACAATCTTTTATGTTTTTCTTGGTGATTCAGTTTCTAACGTACACCTGTGATTTACTTTTATTTTCATTATCTTCGTTTTAATCACAAATACCTCTAATGAATGAGGAATCTACAGATTTTATAGATAATTTAATTTTTTTATTTGGATCAATATTAAAAATTATACTAATTTCTATAATAAAGTTTTATTAACATAAAGAGTTTTATGATCATGTAAAAAATCGCACAATAGATGTTGTAAAAGTTTTTTTATATTAAATAACACCTTTGTGTAAAATTAAATTCATTTTTACAATATAGTAAAAATTTGATTCTTGTTTATAAGCGAAAACTTTATTTTAAAAATTAAGCAATTATATTTTTATGCATTTTTTTTTCTTTCTTTAATATATTATTTGTTTGGCGCATTTAAGACTCAGAAATTAATTAGTTATGATTTACTTTTTTTATT